CAATTGCCTAACCATTTGGAAAGCAGATAATTAACTTGATAGATATATAGATATACATAAAATTAGAAACTTTCATGTGGCAAAAAATACTGTAAAATTAAAATTAGAAAAAATATTTCTAAAATATTTTGGATAAACTCATGTAATTCACAGATGGCTTTTTAAAAAAAATTTTTAACTTCTTTTTAGACAAGGAGTTGGTTAACTTTTTCTGTAAAGTACCACATAGTAAATATATTCGGCTTTCTGGTCTTTGTGACAACCACTCTCCTCTGCCATGGCAGTGTGAGATAGCCATGCAAAGTATATGTCAACCTTAAGGGATGTTCTGTTCTGATTTAACTTTAGAGAAATAGGTAGTGGATCTGCGGCCTGAGCCCACTGCCTCCAGCTCTGCCCTGTCTACATTCTTGCACTTGAATTGAGTCTTTTGCTTCTTGGTAATTAAGAAAGCTGTTTATTTGTGTGTCATCTGAGGCATCCCATCCCATCCCCATTTTCCCACCTATGGACACACTTGTCCTGTATGCTGGTGAATGTTTAATAACCAGTGCTTTGGAGGGAGATTCTCTGTTGATATAGATGTATCATGTAAGTTTATTACAAATTTTACTGATACAAAGGATGTGTAGTTAACAATTTACAAGTAATAAAAGGTACAATTTCTTATTATAAATTCCATATGGCCAGGGTGGGCTGGTAGCTTAAGCCAGTAATCCCAGCACTCTGGGAGGCCGAGGCAGGTGGATTGACTGAGCTCAGAGGTTGGAGACCAGCCTGAGCAAGAGCAAGACCTTGTCTCTAAAAATAGCTGAGTATTGTAGTGGGCACCTGTAGTCCAAAGCTACTCAGGAGGCTGAGGCAAGAGAATTGCTTAAGCCCAAGAGTTTGAGGTTGCTGTGAACTATGACGCCACAGCACTCTACCAAGGGCAACAAAGTGAGACTCTGTCTCAAAAAAAATTAAAACTAACTAAATAAATAAATTCCATATGGCCAATTGGTTCTCACTGGTTTTTGCCAAACTTTTGTATTCATAACCAATCTGTGGTTGTAATTTATGAAATTCATGTAAGTCCTTCCAACTTCAATGTTGGTTAATATTTTTGTCAGATAAACAACAAAGACACATGTTAGAGCTTCATTCATTCATCAGTGGCATGAGCAACTACTCTGCTGATTTGTGTGATAGTTTTCAAATACCAGAACATTTTCTCTGTTTTTTATGCTGTTCACAATGTAGTGGCTATAGAGCAACACATTTTTTTAGTTTAATCTTTGTTTTTAATATTTTCTCTACCGCTTTCTTAAGTCCAGAAAATCAGTAGTAAAGAAAGCCCTTATTTGCAGTATTTGCCAATTTCTATGTGGAAATATTCCCACTATGGCCAGTTTTGACCTGTCAACTTGACTTCATTGAAAACAAGTTGGAAGGAGAGACTCAGTAGCCACCATCTTGGCATGTTTCTGCTGCTTAGATAGAACAGATGTGAGTAACCCCAAAGCATAGATAATAACAAAATACAATAAAATAATGAGGACAGGATGAGGTTTAAGTATTTGTTGCCTTTGTTTTTCCTTCTTTCCTTTCCCTCTTCTCTTCTTCCTCTTTCTCTCCCTCTTTCTTTTTTGAGACAGTCTCACCCTGTTGCCCCAGGCTAGAGTGCCATGACAAAATAGCTCCCAGCAACCTCAAACTCCTGGGCTCAAGCAGTCCTTTTGCGTCAACTTCCTGAGAAGCTGGGACTACAGGCACCCGCCATGATGCCCAGCTAGTTTTTCTATTTTTAGTAGAGACAGAATCTCGCTGTAGCTCAGGCTGGTCTCGAACTCCTGAGGTCAGGCAATATACCCTCATTTGCCTCCCAGAGTACTAGGATTACAGGCATCAG